CCTTTTATAGCTTAATTTGGACGTCAATCATTTCCCAAAGTTCACAACTATGCAATTCACTTTAAGGGCCTAAATATAGTGATGTGATCCGTTTGAATCCGGATAATACGGATTACACAAAATCATATCCGTATCCGTACGGATTGATCTGCAATCCGCATACTCGAATAGTTAACACGTGAAACTATACGGATGATCGACAAACGATAGTTTGTGTAGTTCGAATAGTTGATCGACAATCCGCATAAACTGTAACGGTTGTACAGTATTAAATGTGCATAATACATAAAAGAAATCAAATTTTTTGTTTGTTCTCTTACTCAAAAATGCCTGACGAAAAAGATGACGGTAAGATTGTTTTCGCGGAATGTGAGAAGGCCCTGGAGACGGGTGACGCGGAGGAAATCTACTGGCTCGGCTACTGTTACGAGTTCGGAATTGATGTTGAGAAGGACGAGCGAAAGGCGTTTGAATGCTATCAAAAATCCGCCGCGATGAACCACCCATGCGCCGTGTATCAGGTTGGTTACTGTTACTTCCTTGGAGTAGGAGTTGAAATAGATAATCAAAAGGCGTTTGAACATTACCTGAGATCTGCCGAACTAAACGATTTCATGGGCATCTGGAAGACCGCCGTCTGCTATCGCTACGGGATTGGTACCGAAAAAAGTCAAGACAAATCTTATGAATGGGTCAAAAGAGATAGTTTTATATTTACTTCTCTTCTTGATCGTCGAAGTGATTATTTAAGATGTGTAAATTGTAATGAATTCTTCACGAATAAGTTATGGTGTCAGGCATGTATGCCGGATGTAATAACACGAGGATGGACAAGTGGAAATAAAGATGTCGATAATTGCATAAAAGGATATCAACTTAGAACTTGTGACTATGAGCTTGTAATTGAGTGGATTCCATTTGATAGGTTAGATAATATCAAAAAGATCGGTGAAGGAGGATTCGGCTCAGTATTTTCTGCAGCGTGGTTGGATGGTATACGAAAAATGAATGAAACTATAAAGTATTATGGCATTGAATACATAGAACGTGAATACATAAAAGAACGTGAATTATCTAGTACTGTTGCACTTAAAACATTGTGTTATACTCATGATTTCTTGAAAGAAGTAAGTTAAATTATAATTTATTGCATTTTATTAAACCAATTGAATCAATTTGCTTATATAAAATTTATAAAGTTTAAAATTCATTCTGAGATGTGTGTTAGGAAGAAGAATATGCTTAAAATATATGGATTAACTCGAAATTTAAAAACAAATGAGTATATGATGGTGTTTCAATATGCTAATTCTGGAAGTCTTTACGAGTATTTAAAGTTATATCGTCTTAATTGGAATACCAAAATAGATCTACTTAAAAATGTTTTAAATAATTTATATGATATTCATTCATCAGAATACATCCATGCGGACCTTCACAGTGGTAATATTTTATTACATAATGATAGTAATATGATATCTTACATTTCTGATCTTGGATTGACTAGAAGGCAAGATGAAAGTGATTGTGATGGTGTTTATGGAGTCATGCCTTACATAGCACCTGAAGTTCTAAGAGGTCAAAAGTTCACACAAGCAACTGACATCTACAGTTTTGGAGTAATAATGTGGGAAGTATCAGCTGGCCAAAGACCATTTGATGGTGAGCCATTTGACATTGAACTTGCAGTAAAAATTTGCAATGGATTGAGACCTGAATTCCCATCTGGGATACCTCGTTGGTATGTTGAGCTTTCCAAAAGTTGTATGGATGTAAACCCAAAAAACAGACCTACCATCGATGAAATTGTTTCCAAATTTAAACTTAAAATTTTATATGATGCCATAGCTCATTCCGACAATCATATGGATATTGTGCACTATTGGAATCAAAGTTGGGCTAACTATTTAAAGGAAAATTCTTACATAATTAGGTCCATTAACACGCGAAGGCATCCTAATAGTATGTACACGAGTAAGTTCATTAACACGCGAGAGATTGTAGCCAGACTGAAAGTCAGCCAAGAAGTCAAACCAAGTCGTGAATTTGATCTTGTCGATATTCCTTACTAAAGATGCTGATGAAATTAAATTGGAGTGATAAAAAATTTCACCACTATCGGTGCACTATAAAAAAATTTTTGTTTTATAAATGTGTTAATAAATGTGTTCTATTTGTATAAATTTTTGTGTAATAAATATCTAAAAAGGCACCATTTTGTTTGATTTTTGTCTTCATTTTTTATTAATAAAACATGTAATATTCCATATTAAAATTGTTTAAAGGTATAATTACTGTTTAAAAAATGCTTTTTTTTGTTTATTATTTATTGAAAAAATAATTTAAATATAATACTATATAATTGCCATCTAATATTTATTTAAAAATGTATACTTTTTATTTAATGCTTATTTAAAAAAATTTTTTTTTATTTAATATTTATTTAAAAAATATATATTTTTTATTTATTATTTATTTAAAAAATATACATATTTTATTTATAAATTAAATAACAATTTAAATGCTTTACATTTTTTAATTATTAATTTTTGTTTAAAGAACTATGCATTGATAATTAGTTGGTTTGGCAGTTGACAAGCATGTATTAGATAAGCATAATGGATATTTTAAACAAGCACGATAAATAGTAATTAGTTGATTTTGTTTTGAAATCAGGTACTTGATCTCAATACTTTAGGAGGTACGACAGATGTTCATTTAACTATATAAATAAGTAGATTTATTATGTGTTAATACTATCAATCTTTTAGTTTACAAAAAGTGAAATATTTATTAATATGCATTTATTTATCTATAGATGAAGTGATCCTTTTGCTTTTTGAAGTTTGTACCTTTTGCTTCTTATTTAAATTTGTATTTTCAGAGGTTTTAAGAGCTGTGTTGATAAATTCACAAGGTTTAGGAGTCGTGTTGGTAAGTTCACAGAGTTCAGGAGCTATTTTGATAAGTTCATATGGTTTAGGAGATGTGTTGGTAAGCAACTTTTCTTGCGATGAATTAATTAAAGGTTGGTCTATTTATAATGTAATTAAAATCTTATTAGAAGATTGTAGACCAATAGCTATTATTTAATAAATATTCTATATTAAAATATAATTATATAAATTACCTTCAGCACTAGCCATCATTGATAATTCAAAGTAGTTATCCTAGTTTGAATTCTTAGCATCAAATTGGGAATCTATAATTATAAAATTAATATGCTCATTTACATATTATAAAACAATAAAAATTAAAATAAAAAAGTAAAAAATTAAACAAATTAATTAATAATATATTTTATTAATAGGTCATCTATACTAAAAGCAATCCAAATTCATAGTTGTTATACTATATTTATTTATTATATTCATTTTTTTTTGTAATGCAAATATCATTACTTTGTCATTTTATCTCATCATGTTCTTTTTTACCTGCAATTAAACCATAAATAATAAATAAGCAATATGAAATAATAAAACTTATTAATATTAAAAAATATATGTTGCTGATTTATAAAATGGTACATCATCATTTTTATTGCCCAATTATTAATACAATCTGGAAAGTCTGAATTGTTGGCTTTATACTATTAATATCAAAGAAGATTAATATTAGTATCAAATTATAATCTTAAAATAAACAATCATATCTTCTTAACTAGTGACTATTTTTTAGTTGCACTTAATTTACAATACTCAGATGTATTGCAACCCCATAACTAAGTTACAAACTCACACATCATACTTTTAAAATAATTTTATTATTAGTTTTTTAAAATTCAAATAAAGTAACCATTAAAGAATATAAACCTATATAATAAATAAATTTTACTATCAAGTGATAGTATTTCTAATAATTTGTACTATTTTAAATTTGGAGGCTTCATGATTAGGAATTTTTTTGAAGATATTATTAGAAATTTTTTTGAAAGTCTTATCTAAAAGGTTATAAAAAAATTTTTAGTAATTATTAATTAAATATATATAAAAGAATATTATAGTGAAACTAATAAAGTGTATATAATATATAGGTATTATAGTAAAACCAATAAAGTATATATAAGATAAGTGGTATTATAGTGAAGATAGGTAAAGTAGTAACCTGCCACTTTACCTATTTTCACTATAATACCTCTTTATATATTATATATTTATCTAGTTGGTTTTACTTTCAGAATCATTTAATATAATGAAATACATTTGCTTTGAACTCTCATTATAACTTGTTCTATTCATTTCATAACTACCAGAGTTATCAAAAACAATAATAGTTTCATAACTTTTTTGCTTTTTTAAAAATTATTTATTATAATAATCAGAATCATTAGAGTCACTGGAAGCTCCAGCCAAGTTTTTTTTATATTATTTGTAAGGAACCTTATTGGTATTCATATCATTTGACAAATTGTTAGTTGTTTGGTAAGTACTTTTAGTTAAAACTTGAATATTATTAAAACTTTGTATAATTTCAGATCATTGAAGTTGGTGAAGTTTTTTATTTTCAGCTTTAAGAGTTTCTAATTAGTTTTTTAAAATAATAAATTTATTGTTACTAGTTTTCTTAATAAATAGTTTGTTATTATTTTTTGGATTAGCTTTTTTATTTGTTTGCTTGCCCTTTGATATAATAATCAATATGAAATAAATATATATATTTATATAGTAAAAGAAAGAGTAAATAATTTTTATCTTGGAATTTATTTCGTATTTAAATATTTCAGTACAACCAGACTTTAAAGATTTGTATAATATATAAGAAGAAATGCTTGCTCTATATTTCTTACAGTTTTATTGAAATTTGTATTAAAATTTATAATAGATAACAAATTGAATCTTATTAGTAAAAAAAGTGAAGCCTCTATTATAGAATTAGATATTGAGCTTACTGCTGATCATAATAATAAAGTGTATTGCAGATGTTATTTATATGTTAAAAAAGGTTATAGTAGTGCTTAGACTAGTAAAAAATACCTAAACTAGACATATGAAAGCTCAAATACCTACTATAATATATACAGAACTATCAAGTTCAGAACTATTAAACAGCAACAGTGGTAATAACCAAGTTAAAATTTAGTTAAGTTTTTTTTTTAAGGTTAACCTGCAGGTTTATTATATAAGCATGTTTATTAATAATAATAATAATTTTAAAATTATAGTAAACCAAAATCTGTTTATAATCAAGATTCATTTTTATTGATGTTAGATAATAATATTAGTGATAGCTATAATGATAATAATATTGATAGCTATAATAATAATAATAGTGATAGCTATAGCAATAATGATATGGAGGTGCTAGATCTTGATTCTGATAGTAATATAGAAGGAAATAGAATTTTACAAGAAAATAGTAGCAATTCAAAGGGTTTTTTTAACTGTAATAAGTCTTCAGTAATTCTAATTCTGAATATAATTACTCTTATGATACTCAGGATGGTATAATTTTTATTTTATTTATTTTTTATTTTTATTTATCATTTTTTTTATTTTTATTTATTTTTTTAAAATACTTTTAACTTTATTATATTAGATTTAAATATAGCGAATAATGGAGGAATTGGCTACTGCATTAAGATTATTTAAAGTGAAGATTCAATGCAATTTAACAGATGAAGCATTTCAACAAACTATAATTACAATTAATGCAGAACTAATTAGTTTATATGTAGTTAAAAAAAATGAAATCGCTTATGAATATTAGATCTGTATAGACAGATATGTGTTCTAACTCTTGCTGTGCATATACTGGAGATTATAAAAAATTAATCAAGTGTTCAATTTGTAAATCAGATCAGTACTATTATAACAAAACTAGGCAGTCATATCACAATTTGCATATTTTTCACTTGTACAATTTCTTATTATTCAATATAAAGATTATAATCATGCTACAGAACTATGATATAGAGCTAATTATATATCACAAAGATTATATACAAATAACTGCCAAATAGGTAATGTTTTTAATAGTATTTGATATAAAGAATTAGTACAAGATAAATACTTTCAAAATAAATATGATGTGGCATTATTGGCTTCAATTGATAGTTATCAAATATTTAGACAAAAAACTGATGATTGTTGGATAATATTAGTAATTAATGCAAATCTGGCATCTGAAAATTAGGTTAAAAAAGAGAATCTTCTAATTAGTTTAATTATACCTGGGCCAAAAGGGCCTAAAAATCTTAATTCATTTCTTTTCCCTATGGTAAGAGAATTACAAAAATTAGAAGATAAATATATTAAATTATTATTACAAATAATTAAGTTAATTTCACTAATTTTAATTAATTTATTAAGTTAATTTTACTAATTGTTAATTAAATTAATTTTACTAATTTTAATTATTAATTTTTAATTATTAGTGGGTATAAATTGCTATGATGTATTTAAAAAAATATATTTTACACTTTGTACTATAATAATTAGTTAGTCAGATAATACACTAGGGTTAATGAAATTAATGGGCCTTATCAAGCATAATAGTTATCAAGATTGTTGTTATTGTAATTTAAGAAGTGTCTATATAAATTATATCTACTATCCTACAACTTCACTTAAGAACTTGAATTCTACAAGATATCAAGCATCTAATTTACCAAATTAAATACATAAAGAATAAAGAAGAAGACTTAAAATAATTCAAAAAGCCAAGCCTGAAAAGATTAAAATGAATTTATTACTAATTTTAGTAATATTTAAGTTGCTATTAATAGGAATCAAAGTAGAATCTACTTTAATTTTTATTAAATAGAAATCAAAATCAAAGTAGATTCTACCTTGATTTCTATTAATAGCAGCATATTTTTAGTTCTACATATAAATTCTATTATATGGGATCTTTGTTAGGAAAATCACCCTTCAAGCTATTGTTATACAAGATTTTAATTAGAAAAATTATAATAAATCTATTTTTAGAAAAAAAAATTCCTAGCAAAGATCCCATATATTATAGTAACAAATACTAAATATATATATATCTAAATCAGTATTAGCTTGACCAGTCCAGTTTGACTATTGGACCAGACTATTTTGACTAATTTAACCAGTCTGGTCAAAGAATCTATACTGGTCAAATCGATCAAGTAGTATCTTTAAATATAATTTATTATATAAAATATATATATTATATTTATATAATAGACTTGACCAATTTGATTAGTTTGACTAATTAACCAATTTGACCAGACTAATTTAACTAGCAAATTTTTGGTTGACTACCAATTTGCCCAACACTAATCTAAATATATATAAATATATATAAATATATATATATATATTTTAATGCAAGTATTAACAATCCTAGTATTCTTTTTGATCTAACAACCATTAATTTTTCTAATTCATTTATTGTGAATATAATGCATTTATTCTATGAAAATATTACAAAGTATATATTTAAACATTGAACTGAAACATTCTTTTCAGATGCATTACAGAACAATAAGCTATATATAATAGTAAAAGTAGTTTGGTTAGATATTAGAAATAAGATGCATTTATTGTGCAAAGATTTATCATCAAATCTTGAAAGACCTTTATATAATATACTACTATATTACTGTGGCTATAAAGCTAAAGAATGGGCAATATAGATTATAATGTATTTACTTTCTTTACTTAAAGGATAACTACCATTAAAATATTATAATAGATAGTGCCTTTTTGTAAAGGCTGTATGACTATGCCAAAAAAAAGTTATATCAGCACATGATTTAAGTTATATCTATAAACTTTTATTAAAGTTTTATACTTATTATAAAAGGTAATTTTCTAGTACATATTTATTTTTTAAACTCAAAAAGACTACTACTCTAGTAATTTTTAAGTTAAAATTGAATTCACAAATTTGATTATTCTTATACTTAAAAGTTAAACTTGTGAATTCAATTTTAGTCTAAGAATTACTAGAGTAATAGTCTTTATAAATTTAAAAAAAAGCAATATAATAGCACTATATATGCTTACTTTATATTTTTACTTTATATTTTTACTTTATATTTAATTTTTTTCTATTTATTTTATTATACTTACCAAAAAGTATTACAAAAATTCAATCGAATGCATTACTACAATGAAAATATATATACATTATATGCTTCACATATTTTTGAGTATTCAGCAAAATGGTTTATACTAAACAACATAGAAGTTTCCAATTGAACATATTTGCAGCATGTTACTACTACTTGCAAGATCATGATTATATCTATATAAAAATATTATTAATAATATTTATACTATTAAACTCTTTAATCATTTACAATTCTATAAAAAAATTAACTAAAAAATATTTCTATTAAACAATAAAAAAGATTCAAACTATTTCATTTTCTTAGCAGATGAATATGAAGAAAAATTTCTCAGTTCTACAAAACAATGCATATTAAGCAATACAGAAATTAAAAAATAAAAGAGCATTATATAACAAATTATAATATAAAGGCCAATTAATTACAGGTTAGTATTTTCATTTAAAAAAAGTAAATAAAAAAAATAAATAAAAAATGAAAAAAAACAAAAAAATAAAGAAAAAAAATAAAGAAAAAAATAAATAACAATAAAAATAAATAAATAAACAAAAATAAAAATAAAAATAAAAAATAAATAAAAATTATTTGAATTAATTACTAATATAAAATATTTAGTCTTTTATATTACAAGTACAAAAATTTGGTCACTTATATACTAAACATAAAAATTGTATAAAATCTAGTTAGATTGTATGAAATTAAGACTAGTCATATATAAACTATTCAGTACTAGTACATATGATGTAATTTATTAAATAAAATATAAAGTGCTATCAAGAGAAAACTTGTTATTAAACTTATAAATTTTAAAAATCTAATTATAAGCTTTCTCTTGAAAGCACTTGTATATATATATATATATAATGAGCCTAGCATAACTACCAAAATTATTTATGCATAGATTTTAAATAAATTTATAATGCTAAGTAGCAATCATATTTTTGAGCATCAATTACATAAATGATTTAGATAGTTATACTAGAGAGGTTTGATATATATTTTAATGCTAATAATATTATAAATCTAATTTAGATTTATATAGAAATAGACAAATATGTGAATAATTGAAAATATAAACCAGTATTTGAAACAAAACCATCTTATAGTAATATTAAATACTATTTGATATACAAATTTAATAATAAAGATTGTATACTAGCTTGTATAAACTGGGCAACACTAGTTATTAAAGATTTTGTAAGAACAAAATATTTTTATCAGTTTTCTGGCTATAATTTTATAGATATAACAACAATTAATTATTGTATTGGATTTATTAAGGTAGATAATCTTTATTATATTATTATTAAAGAAGTAAATAATATACAGTATAAAGATTAAAAATCAAGTATAACATTATATTAAATTTTTATTTATAAAAAAAATTATTTCAGATTAAATAATTTTTTTTATATAGATATTGAAGTAAATAATTTAATGCTAAAATAGTTATATACAATATCTGGGTTTGATATATTTTACTAATTATAAAGACTTTAGATATAATATATGACTGTATTTGTATAAAAATTTAAAATATATATACACTTTGTGTAGTTAATTTTCTCTAAATACAAACTTTCTAAGTGCTATAAATGCAAGTTATTTTAAGCACAAAATTTTTGCTATAAGAGCAAGGAATTTTAAGCACAAAATTTTTGCTATAAGTGCAAGCTATTTTAAGCACAAAATGCTTGCTATAAGTGCAAACTATTTTAAGTATAAAATTCTTGTTATAAGTGCAAGCTATTTTAAATACAAAATTTTTATTATAAGTGCAAGCTATTTTAAGCACAAAATTTTTGTTATAAGTGCAAGCTATTTAAATACAAAATTTTTGCTACAATAGCAAGTTATTTTGTAGTTTAATAAAATTTTATTTATTATTTTATATTATTTTATTGAAATAAATTTTCAAAATACAATATTCTTTAAATATAGCAATTTTTAATAGTTTATTTTTAAAGAGAGTTTATTACCTGGAAGATTTAGATAATGACGGCTTTCTAATGCTTAATCTGAAGGCTTCTGAATCTTGCGAAGCTGTGCAAGCTAGGCATATAGTGACCGCTATAGAAGACACTTTTTTTGTAGTTTCATTTCCAACATTATTAACCTCCTATGAACCACAAACAACATCACTTCTATCAAACCTAACTGACCAACCTCTTATAAACTTAAACTATAACAATGAACTATTTTCAATTTCTGATCCACAACTTGAAACTATAACACAACAAACCAAAGAACTAAGCTCTATAAACTCTCTTACTTGTTATAACAAGTTCTTTCTTTATCATAAACTACTATTACTAGAGCATCCACAAACTATCCTCACTTTTCTTCAATATATCAAACATGACTTTCCCTCCTACTACTCATTAGATCTTATTAAAATTTCAATTTTAAACAACAAAGATCACAATAATAATTATACTGAGGCATATATCTATCTTCTACATGAGCCATTTCCAATTCCTAACCACTTCACTTCATTCTTCTCCTCTCTACTTCATTGGTTTAGCTATGTTCCTCTTAGGTCAAACCAACCTCCCTTTCCAATACCACTACCTAACTCAATCTACTATTTCCCAATCTCTTTTCTTCTTCTCAACCTCTCATATCAGATATATCAACTTCTTCTCTCTCTCTTTAACCCAATTATCTATCTATTTCTATCAAAATTGCCTTTCTAAATATTAATGGTCTTTGCCAATCAAACAAAAAACTTTTACTCTCTGAAATACTTAACAACAACTTCTTTGATATTTTAGGCCTCTCAGAAACACATGTATCCTCTAAAGAAGGAAACTTCTTTAAAAACCAAATCCCAAACTTTAACAGTTTCTGGAGCTCTTTCATATAACCATACCAGGCTGGTGTTGGTATTTTTATCCACCATCGAATTTCCAAATATATAGCACGTACTCATAACTATAAAGGCCATATTATTGGTCTAGATCTATATTTCAAAAACCAACCAATTCATCTACTCCAAATCTATATTCCTACTTATGAGATAAAACAACTTCGCAAAGAAATCCAAAAACAAATTATTCTGCTTATACAAAACTCAAATTACAAAGTTATAATTATAGGAGATCTTAACGGTGTTCCTAACTCAAGAATAGATTGCTTTCCTCCTAAAAAAACATCAATTCCTGAACTTCAACTTATAAAATATCTACAATGTCAACAATCTAAAGATATTTATTGTTTTTTTTTTCTCAATATATCAAACTTCACCTTTCAACACTCTAATATTAAGAGTAGAATTGACCAAATATGGACAAATCTCTCAATCACCAATATCGAATATACAGATATAATTCTAAACAACTAACTCGAATCTGACCATCATATTATCACTATCGAATTATCAATTATTCTAAACAAACCCAAATCTCAAAAACAGAAAAAAAACAAACTTTTTTTATAGAAAAACTGCTCTAAACAAGTCTTTGAAGAATATGCAACACAAACAACTCGAAACTTACAACATATCTTCTCAAAAATCAATCTTATATCTAATCAAAACCAACTTAACTTATACTAGAACAAAATCCATAAAGGCCTTATTAAAGCAGCTACTAAACATATTTTTTTTAAGAAAATCAATACAATTAAAGAAATTCAGAACAAACCTATTACAAAAAAATCTTTACTCTTTTATGGATACAAACAAATACAATATCTTAAAAACCACTTCTCCTCATCTAATCTAAACTCTCTTCTTCACAATTACTAATCGCAATACCCCGAAAACTCACTTCTATCCAACAACCCAACAATTTTACAAATCAAAAACAAATTCCTATTTATCAAAACAGCACTTAATCAAGAATACCAGCAAGATCTCTACAACGAGATTAAACAAAAAATAGAAAACTACAACAAAACCTTTCTTGAAACTCCAAAAATCTTCTACAAAAAAATATTAGAAAAATTTAACAACATTAATATTGACCAACTTCTTTTAGATAACTTTCTCCTAACT